AAGAAAAAGAATCACATGATCCTACCAATTGATGCAGAAAAGGCCTTTGACATAATACAACAGTCCTTCCTCCCCAAAACATTCAACAAAATAGGATAGTGGGGAAATTCCTCAACATAGTGGAAAGTATATACACAACATGAGAAGCCAACATCATTCTCAATAGAGAGAGATTAAAGGCATTCTCCCTGAAAATAGGAACAAGACAAGGATGCCCACTATCACCTCACCAATAATACTATACTGGAAGTATTAGTGAGAGCAGTAAGGCAAAACAAGGAAATAAGAGGTATACAAACTGGCAAAGAAGTAAAACTATATGCAGATTATATGACAGATTATTCAGAAAATCCTAAAGATTCAGTGAGAAAACTATTGAACATAGTCAACCAATTCAGCAAAGAAGTAGGGCACAAAATCAACATAAAAGAAATCAGTTGGTTTTCTCTACAGTGACAAAAAGAATACAGAGCCAGAACTAAGAGAAACAATACCTTTCACAATAGCTAATCACAAGATGAAATAATTGGGAGCAAATTAAACTAGGGTCACAAAAGACTTATACACAAATAGAGACTTGTACAACAGTGTAATTAGCAGTGTCATTCATCATAGCAAGAACATGGAAACAGCCCAAATGTCCCACAATGGAATGGATTGAGAAATTATGGTACATTCACACAATGGAATACTATGCAGCATGCAGGAGCAATGATTTTGAAAATCACTAACTAACTTGGGAGAGACTGAAGAGCAGTATGTTAAATGAACTAACTCGGTCCCATAAGGACAAATACTGTATATGATGATTCTTCTATGAGGATCCAAGAGGAGCGTGTGGCAGTAGGAGGGTGAGGATGGTTGGGGGAGTGGGAAGTTAATCACAGGGTCACACAATTCGATGGGTGGAAGGAGGGAAGATAAAATGAAGGGGAAGAATTCAGTGTGGAAAAACAATGCATACAATCTTTGTAAATAAATCAGTATAAAAAATTTTATATTACAAAAAGACTTGTGCTGTTTTTATGTGCCATCAAGTTGCTTGCAACTCACAGTGACCCTATGTACAACAGCCGTAAACTCTGCCCTGTCCCGTGCCAATTGCACTGTCTCTGACACACCTATCCCGATTACACCAGTCATTGAATCAATCCACCTCATAGAGGGCCTTCCCCTCTTGCACTGTCCCTCCACCCTACCAAACATGATGTCCTTCTCCAAGGACCGGTCTCTTCACAACATGTCCAATGTATGTTAGATGGAGCCTCAGAATCCTTGCCTCCAAGAAGCCGCCTGGTTTGACCCTTTCCAGGATCAATCTGTTTGCTTTCCTAGCAGTCCAAGGTACATTCAATACTCTTCTCCAGCACCACAGCTCAAAGGCATCAATTCTGACGACTGCCTCTTGGTCCAAGTATAGGTTTCTCATCAGCATGATCAAGTGTTCTGGGATTCCCATTCTTCTCAGAGTCAGCCAGTTTGTTATGATCCACACAGTCAAAGGCCTTTGCATAATCAATGAAGCACAGATAGACATTCTTCTGGTATTCTCTGCTTTCAGCTAAGATCCATCTGACATCAGCTACAATATCCCTAGTACCACGACCCCTTCTAAACCCAGCCTGGACTTCTGGCAGTTCTCTACTGATGTACTGTTCCAGTCGTTTTTGGATAATCTTCAGTAGAATCTTGCTTGCATGTGAAATCAACGATACTGTTCTGTAGTTTCCACACTCAGTTGGGTCACCCTTCTTTGGGATGGGAACAAATATAGATCTCTTCCAGTCAGTTGGCCAGATCTCTTGGCACAACTTGGAGAGCACATCCAGGATAGCATATGTTAGCTGAAATATGTCAACTGGTATATCATCTATTTCTGGGGCCTAATTTTTTGCTATTTCCTTCAAAGCAGCTTGAACTTCTTCCTTCATCACCATAGGCTCTTGCTCATATGTTGTTTCATGAAATTCTTCTGTGTCTGCCAATTCCTTTCTATACAGTGATTGAGTATATTTTTTCCATCTTCTTTTAATACTTCCCAGATCATTTAATATTCTGCCTAAAGCATCCTTGATTATAACAACTCAAGGTTTGATTTGTTCTTCAGTTCCTTGAGCTTAAGAAATGTTGAGCGAGTTCGGCCCTTTTGATTTTCTGAGTCCAACTCCTCGCACATTTCATTGTAATATTTTACTTTGTCATACCATGCTGCCTTTTGAAATCTTCTATTCAACTCTTTAGTATCTTGAATTCTTCCTTATGCTTTGACAAAGAAAATTACAAACATTACTAAAAAAAGATCTAGAAATAAGGGAGAATGTGCCATTCTCATGGACAGAGAGACTCAATATCGCAAAACTGACAATTCTACCAAAGGCAATTTACAAATTCAGTGCAATCCTAACACAGATGGCAATTGCTTTCCTCGAAGAGATGGAAAAGGCAATTTCCAATTTCTTTCTGGAATGATAAGATCTTGAATAAGCAAAACATTACTGATAAAGAGAAAAAAGGTAGAAGGCATCACACTCCCTGATCTCAAATCCTACTACACAGCTGTGGTGGTCAAGACAGCATGGTACTGATACAACAAATGACACATAGACCAATGGAATAGAATTGAGAATCTAGAAATCAGCCCATCTACCATCAACTGATGTTTGACAAGGAGGCAATATAAATTACATGGGGAAATGAGAGTCTCTTTAACACTGATTTTGGCAAAACTGGAAAACTATCTGCAGAAAACTTAAGCAAGACCCCACATCACACCATACACAAAAAACAACTCAAGGTGGATTAGGGACTTGGAAGTAAAACCAAAGACTATAAACGTCATCAGAGAAAATTTAGGAAGAACTCTAGAAGCCCTAATCCATAGCATGAACAGTCTTCCAAGAGTAATGAAAAATCTATAACCAGTAAAGAATAAGATAGATGAATGAGACCTTTTAACAATCAAATTCCTATTCACATTAAAAAGTTTCAACAGAGTAAGAAGGAAACCTAATGACTGGAAAAAAAATATGTGGCAATTATATATCTGATAATGGACTTATTTCTAAAACTTATAGAATATTCTAGCACCTCAACAAGAAAAAGGTTAACAACTCAGTCACAAAATGGACACAGGATAGGAATAGACACTTTACTACAAACGAATTTCAGACAGCAAACAAGCACATGAGGAAGTGTTCGAAATCTCTATCTATTAAGGGAGATGCAAATCAAAACAACTTAAAGATATCATCTCACCCCAGCAACAAAAGCAAAGTTCAACAAGGCAGCAAACAACAACTGCTGGTAAGTTGCGGAGAGATTGGAAACTCCTATTCTCTGCTGGTGGGAAGGTACAGTCACTATGGAAAGCTGTCTGGTACTTTCTCAGAAAGTTGAAAATAAGACATATCATTTGATGCAGTAATTCCACTACTGGGAATATACCATAAAGAAACTAGAGCCACAACTCAAACAGATGTATATATGCCCATGTTTACTGCTGCTTTATTCACAATACCCAAGAGATGGAAGCAGCCTAAATGTCCCAAAACAACAAATGGACAGAAAAATTATGGTACATTCATACAATGGAATTAATATTATGCATCATTGAAAACAATGAACTCATGAAATATCATACAACATGGGGGAGTCTTGAGGACATTATGCTAAATGAAATGTCTCAGTCACAAAGGAGCAAATACTGCATAACACTGTTATAAAATAGGACAGACATGAGAGTGTTAAGGAAGCAATGGGGAAATAATAGATAAGATAATGAGCAGTGCATTAGAACAGATAAAGGGAAGAACTGTCTGGAAGAAATATATGATTAGGCATTATAAGTATGAGAGAAGATCTTCACCCTGAAACCCACAGCGTCCCTTTTCAGCAGGAAGTAGCTAAGAGAATACGCCGTCCCCTTTTCCTTATGACTCAGGGTGAAGTCTCTCTCAGGGAGGAGTGATAGGGAATGCCAAAGGATACACTGACAAAGAAGATTAATCAGAACTGGCTTTGACAAGCACTGTGGCATTTGGACAAGAACAAACTGGGAGGAGGGTAGAGAGAATAGTGCAACAATGAATGAGTGGAAGCCCAAAATCTCTGTAAATGTTTATGAAAATTAATAAAATATATTTATAGAGAAAAAAAAATAAGTATGACAACAATCTGTAACAAGAGGTATATTGTGAGGTGGGCTTGGGGAAGGGAAAGAAAGGGAAGGGAGGGATGAAGAAAATATGCAACAATATATTAAAAAAATTATTACTGTTGTTGTTAACATAATAGGCAGAAAAGTAGTAAAGAAAAGGCCATACACAGGTTCAGACAAGAAACTAACAAATTCAGGGATCTGTAAGTAGATCAACTTAGCTGACAAGGCAGAAGAAGAGTACACACTATATTTAGGAACATAAATTAGAATCAAATGGTGGGAAGGCCTTCTAGACATTACTTGCTGGAATTAGGGAGCCATTTAAACCTTCTCAACAGATTATTACAGTTGGCTTATCCTAAGCAATCAGTAGTTACGCATAGGGGATAATACATGACTGTTGTTGTTGTGTACTACTGAGTCAGGATCGACTTACAGCTGACCCTCCAGAGGGTTTTCAGGGGCAGTAATTGCTTGATGTTCACTGCCCATCTTTCTCCCACAGAGCAGCTGGTAGATTTAAACCGCATGCCTTTGGGTTGACAGTGCAATTCCTATCCATTAGGCCACCAGAGCTCCCTAATACATGACTAACCCAATCAATTCTAGAGGGTGTCTACAACATAAATTGAGTATCTACTGAAACTCTGTTTTAAAAGAAAAAAAAATCCACAAGTGTTATTTGGTCAATTGCTTTGTAGATTATTTAACTGAGGTGGTTGGATAAAGGACAAAGTAAAGATATGCTGACAAGTATCAAGGAAGAAGATAATAATAGTAATAAAAGGCAGAAAACCACAGCATGAACCTGACTTTATCCAAGAATGATGAGTTTCCTTACCTGCAAATGCCATAATTTTTACCACCTGCAGAGGTTCCATCTTATGGTTCAGAATCAGCTGTTGTTCATTTGTAAGATGGATGGTTTTTTTCTTGCTATAATCATTACAGAAAAGATATTAGAGAAAAAGAAAGGTACTGAAAATAGCAGATCATGAAGTGTCCAAAAACCAAAAGGCAAATTAGATGAAAAGAAATTGGCCAAAAGAAAACTATTTCCCCTGTAGAATAATAAAAACATTCTAAAAACTAGACTACAGTATGGCTGTACACTCAGTAGGTCCACTAAAAGTTCCTGAATCGTAGACTTAAAATAAGCAGTTCTTTACTTCACCTCTGCCTTGCATGAAGACTTCCGAGCTGTAAAACAACTCAGTGGTAGATGGAATTTGGTCCAGGACTTAAGAACAATAAATGACATAGTTGAGCCTCTACATCTTATAGTTCCTAAACTTTATACTATAATAGACAAAGTGATAGTCAATAGGCCTTTTATTTTAAGAACTACCTTCCCTCTGTAACTTGATTTGTGCCACTGTTAGAACCTCTACTTGGAAT